TACGTTAATGAGAATAAAGTAGGAAAACCAAAGACATTTGACAGAAACTCACGTAACTAACATCCAAATGACCCGCTTCCAGGTAAAGTCGGGCGAATCCTATCACAGTTTGCATTTCATCAGTGTTTTGATAAGCTGGTGCGAGTTTTCCTTTTACTTGGAACCCAATCACAGCCATGCCGAACGGTACTCATTTGAAAGATATAAGCAAACAACTCTACGATCCGGAGTTTTCTGGTAACTCTGAGGTGCTATCAAACAGAGCTTAACAACATCCTTAGAAGAAAGCGACAGATGGCGAAAACTGACCTCGTTCAACACCAGAGCTATCCGGCGGAAGTTACGGTATTTAAAAGATGATTTGTGCAGTATTGCGTAAACGCGTAAACTCAAGGAAAGTGAGGGAAGGGTTGTTTAGTTGTTTTCAAAATATCTTTATCAATCTGTGGTGTTTTCATGCTGTTTGGAACTGTCGAACTTCTCATCTGTAGCGAATCTTAGTGTACGTGATCAAAAATTTTCTAGTGTTACCTAAAGATGTCAATTACTGTCAGGATATTACTCTTTAACAATTACTAAGTTCCAGTAACCCATAGAGAGTCGTCGATGGCTCGCAATATATTCGGGACGCACGGCTTCACTCCATCCTCTTCTCAACACAGAGCGCCACCATGGGCGAGTTTCTCTTCTTTTTTCTTCCTTTGTTGTTTAAACCTCGACTTTGAGGTGAGAAGGGAGGCTGGATATCTGTGCGCTTCTCTGTTGTATTGGTTTCTGTAGCGATGCTCACCTTTGTGCTGATCCATGTGTCGGTGCAGTACAAGAGTTGTATTGTGTTACTTGTACTTATCCCTTGTATTGGTAGAGGAGGACTTATGAGGACTACTAGACCGCTTCGTTGGGTAGGGAATGCCGATGTAATTGATTATTCGGTCATTACGCTTCGAGACGTACGTTTGAGAACGTCATCATCGATCCTAACACGTACGTACTTCTTTTTAAGGACTGGAGACCTTTGTGGGTTTGTAATGGTTGCGAGAAATAGCCGTTCTCTAACAAACTTCTCAGTGTTTTCGCATGACCTCATCTACTTCGCAGATGTTAAAAATCGATTTCATTATTAATTTATTTGATTAAAAAACACCAATGGGAGACATTTTGGGCTTCTCTTACCGAACTTCTGGTGTTCAACTGGCTCTCACTACATCATCTCTACTGCGAGAATCGTTATGGATTTGCAAAGGCGCTAGTGAAGTTGTGTAATATTCGAAGTCGGTGTTGTTCGCTCCTCATCCTTCGTTAAATTTCTCCACCATAAACTTTTCCGTGCAATCAAATGAAGAGAATGTACTCAGCCATTTTTCACTTCGCATGCACTCGTCGTCGTCCACCTGCTCGTCGCAATGTCGCCCAGGTGGTCGGAACTAGAGAGACTTTCGGTGATGTCGAACGGCGACGTATGGTGGCAAGTTCATCGGCATCAGGCTTTATAGATGTGAGGAGTCTAGGATTTCTATCCAGAAACCCATATAAAAGTTGACTTATGCCAGCAGGAGAGTTTAGACGAGCTATCCTTAGTTGTTCGTTTTGTCCAAATAGGAAGAATGAAAGACTTTGTTCTAAAAGGCAATGCTGTTCATCTCCTTTGTGCTGAGCCCACTGAACCAATTTGATGGTCGAATTAATGAAGATCCCAGAGTTGCTTACATGGCCGTCTACCTGAGTAAGAGCTTTAGGAGTCGTAGGAGTGGTACCCACACTCACGACCGACGAGTACTTCCATCTGCCGACGTCACTCGGCAATTGGGAGTGGGGATATCTGCGAAAGGATAAGCAGCGTCTTGTTTCTTCGTTAACTGTTCTAAATTGCTGCCTTAACTATACCATTTGTCTCCGTAATAAAGTCTCATACCTCCTTCCAATGCCGTCATAGTGAGAAAGCTGTCCTGTATGGTTTCGGAAAAACTTCACTGAAAGTCACAATTTACAAGGAAAATTCGAAACTGGGTTTTTTGGGTGTGCTCATGTTTGACTCATGCAAGTGTCGGCTTACCTTTTACAAAGATGTTTGCAGTGTCATATCCATATCATTTTAAATATTAGCATATCTAAAGCTTCGACTTCTTATTCGCGTTCTGATTTTACCTCAGCATCTATTCGATTGTCGCTATGCATTAGAAGACTACCACAATTCTGCTTTTTTGTTTATGGTACCACGAAGGGATTTCTCGACCGCCCACACCTGTCCCCACACCTTATTTGGTTTCACCGTATAGGAACTTAACTCTAGATGAAGTTTATGGCATGATCTTTTCGTTTTGGACTTACTCTTACATGCTATTTTTGGCAAGGTGTCTATACGTTAGCTTAGCTGCTCAGAGTACCTGACCACTCAGAGTGTTCCCATGCTTCCCATGCTAGTTGTATTTGTGTTTGCTACATTTCAGTCTATTAGCTTGTGCTGAGATTGTACAAACGTTTCTTGTCAAGTAAGAGTTTGCTAGTTGTGGGGTGGTTGAGTTTTTGAGACAAATCTTCGTTCAATTTAGTTAATGACCTCTTCACCTTCTTTTTGTCGAAGTGTGAAATGTGTAGTCTGTTCATGTGGGTAAGTACCGTTCGACTGGGGTTACAAACTCTGCTACGTTTTCAGGCTCTTGAAATGTACTCAACTACTGTATGTTTACAGGCACCTGTGTTCTCTCTGACGGATATTCGCTATAAGCCTGTGGTTGTGCTTGTGGACGCTTGTCTGTCATTAACCTGGATTCTTTTTGTGTGGGGGGAAGACATAGTGCAAATGCGCCTTATGCAACTTACGTTCGGTGCGTTGATGCTGTTGAATGTTTCTTTTTGAATTCAGATTGCTTTTATGTGCTCATTGTTCAGTAATTGTCTACAGATAGTCGGACGATGACGTCATTTGTCTCTTATTCTACGAGTTTTGTTTGTCGTACTCGAAAATGTTCGAGGATTAATACCTCTGCAGAAGACTGACGCAGCGTATTATTCGTTTTCACTTCTTTTCAGGTTTCGCTTTAGCTGCAGAAGTTGCGTACTACTCATAATTGTATGCGATTGTAAACGAGAGGAACTATCGCCGTGTGACGTCATGCGATCGCAGTGCTGATCTCACAAGGAAATTGTTGGCGTGTAGCTTGGCTCATTTCCCCATTTTCCCCGGAACTGCTACATATTATCACACTGAATCAGGTGTGAAAACGTGGTATTCCTTCATTAGTTTTTTATGAAATGCTTAGCAAACTTCTAGCATACGTAGTACTTTTTTCGATACTTTTCCACTGTTTCGTAACTTTATGTGCTTTGTAATAATGTGAAACTTCTTCCGACACCACTGAAGTATTTAGGTAACCATTTAGCAGCATAGTAGAATCCCATCCTTAGTACTCGTTGTAGCATAACATACATGTTTTTAGATATCATTAGCTGCTGTTGTTTGCGTTTTTTCATCACTCTAGCACTGTCTTCGGCTGCTTCACGGTCTGGTCAGCGCGAGGCACAAAGTGAGTCTGTGGAAAGTAGGTCATTGGATGAGCGGCTTCAAGAACAACGGTCAAACATAACTTTTCCAAGTATTTGTATACTATGGCCTTCACATCGCTAAGTCGGTCATCTCCTTTAGGTTAAACGAAGATCTCCGTAATAAGCCGAAATTGGAGATGCGGAATTATTTCGTCAGTGTACTCGAGAGCTTCAAGTTATTCAAGAATGTTATGGCGGTACTCAAATGGTCTTCACGGTGGGCTCTCACAAGCTGTGGAACTTTCCAGGTGCTCAGTTTTGCAAGATAATTTGGTTTTTACCACTTTATTTTGTGGTTAAACCTCAACCGTCTTATAATTTTTTCGTTTCGGTTTTTATTCCCCTTCTTGACCAAATAAGTCATCTTACGGGCATTACAAGCAAAGAGAATGAGACAGTAAAACGGAGAAATCGATGTAAAGCTCTAAAATAGGCTATCGTTCTTTTTGTCAGTAATTTTTGTTCAGGTGTGCAACTATATACAATCTCTTTGAATTGAGATGCGGCTGAATCCGAGCGATGTAAACAATGGTCTGGTAGGTGTTATGAATACTGTCACAGGTGCGTCTTAAAATTTGTTTTTTAGTTCAATGATATATATATATGTCATGTGTATATGTATACATATATTATACATATATGTTATATATATATATACAAACTTGGAACATTTGAAAGCACTTCAACATGTTCCGAATTTGAACTTCATTTGGGTTCTGCTTAATATTTTCAGGCGCTCTGCTACCTTTTTTGTGCAGTTTGCTGTCATAGGCTGGGTTCAGTATGGACAACTTGGTTTAATTCTTTCTTCCTTGCTAATTGCCATTGTTCTTGCCTTGATTTCTGAAACGGGCTATATTTGGATTGCACACAGCGGTTACGTCTATGTGACGACCACTTACCACAGCATTATCACTGCAACCAGGTGTGGCTTTTAGAATATCATTGTTTTCATCGTTATCTTTTTCGTACACTTTATGTATGTGGCATGTCATGTCCATTTTAGACGAATAGCTTTATCACTTTCTTCTGAAATTTCGCTTTATCTGTTATATTGTGGGTGACTACGTCCAGTACACTTTTATCAGTGGATTTATAACGTAGATATCCCACTTATACATATAAAAGTTGGTATCCCCAGATCCGTCATAACTGACGCAACTAATACGGCGAATATTTTATTAGGAAAGAAGTTCTGTATATGTTCAAGTGCCATTGGCCGTAGAGCTGTCAGTCCTAGTAGCAGTAGCTTTTTACTCCGCATATTCATCATCTTTGTTATCGTGTATGTCAAGTGTGAAGGCATATGCTGGTGTGGGGTAGATCCGAATTTTTCGGTTGGTGTAGGAGGCAGATTCTCGATGGACTTCTGTTTCACTGCTTTAGTTTCGGCAAACTGCTTTTCTTCTGCGACAATACCACGAGTGTGTTCGTTACTTTAAACTCAGTAATTACTTTGATGTACATGAAAGAAAAGAGAAATCAGGAGTCCAAAAATTCTTAGGCCTACTATGGCTACGCTACAGTGGACATCACAAGCATTTTTCTTCCCAATAAACCTCTCGGTGAAATGAGCCTGTTTCAAAAGAAAGTATCGAGATATGTTGCTGCAGTTTCGATCCGTTCGGAGTACTTTAGGAAATTCAATAGGAGCATCTTCCGAATCACTTTGGAAATCTGAGCTCTCGATGCTTTAACCCTGGACAAAAATAATCAGTGGCAAAATTTATTTATGCTTCACCACTTTCTTGACACTTCCTAGGGTACTAGTGGATGTTAACATCAATTCAGTTTGCGAGCGTGACGTTCTAACCTTACCGATCTTTCTTCATCTTTTTTCACAACAGCTTATGCACTGCAACGTCACCATGGTGATGATAACCATAAAGTGTCTCTATGGTGAAAAATAGGAGTGACTCCATGAAGTCACTCTTTCACCCACCTCTGGAATCGCTTGCGCTCATGGTCGGTACGATGTATCATTACCGCGTAACGTACCACAGTTATAGAACAAGTCGTATTCAATATCGATTGTAAATTTCTTTGAATAGGTGATCATGACGCTCAACTTTGAATCGAACGCAGATGTACATATCGCTCTTTGATTTGTGGACGTTTTTGCTGAATACATTGATATCTGCACTGCATTTCCTCACAGTGAACTCATCAAAACCAGGACAACCGAAATAACAAGGTCTGTGTTCGAGACTGAGTTGACGAAACTTTGTTCGAAAAAGTGCTCCATTTTTTCGAATGTGATATTACTAAGGGAAGCAATTGCACGAATATTTCTTCGTTCTCAATGTTATGTCGTCAGACTTTTCATCCTTAATATTCATCAAAATGATACCACAATGGGGCCAATCATGCCTTTACAGTGTCACGCCGACGCGTACGGATCCAGAAAGGGAGAACTACGATAAGAAAAATACTTCATAATCATTAATTTCCTTGCAAAAGATACATTGAGAAATCACTCATCTTTCCACTCTTTCGTACTTCTTCCATCGAAAGGTCCAATATTAACCCATTGCAATATTCGTTTAAAAATTTTGGTATGGATTGGCACGCTTTTGTTGGTCCAGTGCTATATCGAAGTGAAGATAAGATCTCCGTAAAATACTTGGATAGTCATGCTCATTTGCATGGTTCATCGGGCTATATACGTTATTGCGGCGTTATGGGTTATTTTATATAACATGTTATATATAACTCTCAACGATTTACCACCTCATCGTGGCTGGAAGATGTTCTTAGGTGTCGGACTGCAATATACAGCGGGGGATTCATCCCCTGGCAGGGTCTCTCAAGCTGGGAAGGAGTCCGGTGTTTCCATCAGGAAGCCTAGCTAAGAGTAAACCAATACCAGGATCCACCACTGTCCTGGCATCAAAGTCGCATGGTGGCGAATCTCCCTGTGATCCACAAGCGCTGCGACTGTCTGCGGTGGTGAAGACCAGGAGCAAACTCTGACCAAGCTGACCTCGGGATTCCAGGGAACCAAAATGGCTTAATTAGCATCAAGTATCAAGTAAGTAAGTTATGTATACTGAGACTTTTTACTACATCAGATGCCCGACGTGGATTCTGTGCGGCAACGCTCGAACCTTCAACACAATCAACGAGAGCTATTTTCCTTTGGCAGATCCTAATGTTGATAACGGTAGTATTGACTATCCGGATTCTGAAAATTGTTCATTTTTATTCACTGCCTTTTACAAGTTTTCACGGCAGGGTATGATTTGTGAAACAACCACAACGATGCTGAGTTTTTTGCAAAACTGCGGATCGCAGTTGTCTGCGGTGGGGAACGAATGCGCTATTGTTCATTCCCGGGAGTAACGCGTTCACCACCACACCATGCGGGTCTTTCGTTTCGCCTGTCTCTCAGCTACTTCTATGGATCACTGCCATCAGCAATCACCCAATCAGAGACAGGCGAAACGAAGGACTCGCATGATGTGATGAATGCGTTAGTCCCCGGAAAGGATAATACCGTGGTCGATCCCCACCACAGACATCACCGGTTCGGAGTTTTGCAAATATCTCAGCATTATTATGGTTTTAACCACTGAATTTTTAGGACTTTTCTGTGCTGACGGCTACTTCAATACATTGAGCATCTCTGTTTCGTATTCATCAGCTGCAGATTGGTAAAAGTTTGAGCAAGTGTTTTCACCTAGAAGGGAAGTTGTGGACGCATTGTGGCCATACGTGATGGGAGGATCTCGTGTGAATTGGCAAAATTTGCACTTAACAAGTGCACAAAACATACTCCACCGACATTTTGTGACGATGGCTTGCCACTATTGATAGAATAGGTCTGGTGATTCTGAATTCTTCTAACTGCGCGTCTTTGAATCGGGTTAGAACTTTTTGCAATTGGTTAGTATACCGCGTGAGTATCCGTTTGTGACTTGCCAGTGATAGGTTGGACATGATTGAAGAATTAACGTACTTGGTTGTAACTTCCTTGACCTGATGGATCCTTTCAAGCGGCCAATGCACCAGAAATTATGGTGGGACGGCTCGATTATATAGGAATACCAAGTAGTTAAGATGATTCGGTCGGAATTTGCTGCTCGCCTTTGTGTATGCCACGCGGGACTTCTTGTAAGTAGTAGTCACAGTGCCGGAAACCTCAAACTTGGGTAATTAAACCGTTTATCATAATTATACAACAATTATGGCATAACAATACAACTGTACAATTAATACAACAATGATACAAGCAATGAATAGGCGCAGCCTGATTTCTTGTGTTCAGGTTGCTCAAGAGTGAAGAGGTTGTCATAAGACTTCGACCACATGAGATCGATGTGAGGAAAGGATATGGTGATTTGGGCAGCATTGCTGTGACCTGAGCTAGTCAGCCGTGGAGCCGTTTATATACCGTTTGGGTTGGGCGGAGTCAGGCTACAATAGGCGGAGTCGCGTTACAGTAGGTGGAGTGGGGTTACAGTAGGTGGAGTCAGGCTACAGTATGCGGAAGGACGGCTACCGGAAACATTTCACAAGCGTTGCAATCTGATAAGGCGATAGTCAAAGCATAGGACTGTAACTGCAGATGTTTTTCATGAGATAACCGCCGAAGAAATGTTAGTCATAAGGTCACCGGAAGCCGTATTCAAAAATGTTTGACATAAGGTTATCAGATCGTCATGGAGAAAAGGTCACCGGAAACCGTATTCGAAAATGTTTGACATAAGGTTATAATTAATTCACATAGAGAACATTCCAATATTCGTAAAGAATGTTCTCTATAGGGATACTGTTCTTGTGATAGGAGTTCACAACAAGAAACGCTGTCATTGATATGTCGTAAATATTTTACCGGATTAAGTAGCAGTTATTCTTCGATTTTGTGTGTGGAAAGTTCATTTGTCGGCTGGCGACTAGATTGCTACCTATGAGAGGTCAGAATCTCTTGAGCAGGTGAACCCTCGTGTCGATTTCGAATAGCCATAACTAACTCTTCACTTTTAGTGATCCTTGGTATATGACGAATCCCGTCCTCTGAATTGCCCATGATGTCTCCTTCCAGTAGACTATTAATTATATGGAAGGTGAGCAACTAATGTGAGAAAAAAATAGATTCAAATAAGCATATCGACATCATTTATTGATATCATTATTGTGACTCCCAGTAATATAAATGTGAGAGCATTTTTTCTGTGATGATGGAGGTAGTCTTTCGAAAATGCTCCATGACTTTTATACTGAAGCTTCGCTAATTGTTATCTTTATTTTCAGCTACAATATCGTCCAC